GGCGGAGGGGCAGGAAGGGGGTGGGCAATGAGTGATCCAGAGATGTCAAAGTTAAAGTTGTGGGAYGGAGGAGAAGTGATCAAAGTTAAAGCAAGTAAAAAGGAAGAGAAAAACACTAATTTCAAAGAGAGGATCCGTGTTGATGAACTGGAAGGACTAATGAGAGTTGACAGCAAGGGAGAGCAAAGAAATGATGGAGTGCATGTGCAGAACACCAAGTCTCTGTTCAGTCAAGCCTATTCTTTGTCACAATGTCACAATGTCAAAGTAATGGATGGAGTCTGACACAAAATTATATCTGAGGAAAACACATAAATCTCTGAATTGGTAATGCAGTAGCAGCTAACATTAGATAAAATGACGTATCACTTATGATGTAGCCATCTGAAACAAATTAGCAAAGAATTAATGAGACTCAAATACATTGAATCTACAAATAAAATAAAAATATGAGAACAAAGAGATTAAAAAGAGTTTTCTATCCTCTGAACTTGTGCTACTTGTAATGTTTTGCAAGTGTAGCTTTGTCCTTATTGTTTGAATCATTCATCTCATAAGAAAATAAGACACTTGGGGTTAAATAATAGAGGGAAGGGGCATGGTGGGGCCTTCGATTTATTGCTGCTCCATCAAGTCCAAATTGTACAGCAAATAAAAATGAAGATTCTCTATAGAAGACATACAGTGCTTATCTTATCAGCAGAAGATGTGTTGCTCATGTAGAATACAGTACAGCAGCTGCCTGAGGATAAAGCTAGGGCAAAGATAGGGCGGGCTGCCATTTAAGCAAGCCATTTTTATGTTTCTGAGTGTGCATGTGGGCTGTGGTTCTAGGCCATGGCCTACTGTGCTGCACTAGATAACTAGTCCCCCCTCCAAAAACACAGTCAGAGACAGAGTTTGCTGTGTTTCTYCTTTTCTTTTTCAATGTGTCTGTCTCTCTGCCTGTTGCTAGGCTGAGAGGGGGCCACTGGGATTGCGCTCTAAAAATAAAGGTGTTCTTGATACTCATTTGCTCTAATCAATTTCAATGAGGTCTGTATGGGTAAAAAAAGTGTCTGCTTGTCATTATCTGAATGAACTATTTTCTGTTGCTCATATTTGACTTGACTTCTGTCCATGTTAACCTACAGTATATACTGTGTGCGTGCGTGCGTGCGTGCGTGCGTGTGTGTGTGTGTGTACCTGTTTCTGCTACAGACAGAGAACCATGTCAGGTTTTTAACATTGGGGGCTACAACTCCAAAACAGACGTATCTCAAAAAGCAATCAAACTTGTACTAAGTTGTTTCACGCCAGTGTATATATTAAACAAATCCAAATAAGAAAACAGTCAAGTAGTTTTTTTTATTTTTAGTACATAATGCTCTTCTGTAACTGAGAAGCAAATTTCTTCATGACTCTGGTTAAAGTCAGGGATGTTTTAACCAGATTCTTCTCTATAGAGCATGGTCAGTGCAGTGAGATGTGATGTTGTACCTGAGG